ACCGGGATACTCTTTGGATGTTACGGTACGAATTTTACTTTTTAATTACTTACCTCGAATTTTTTAAATAACCCTTTTTTTAACGTGTATTTAATTATTTTAGCTCTCGGGCTTTTAGTCTCAACTCCTATTTGTGCCGTTTTAAGCGATAAATATAATACTAGAAAAGTGATTATAATAATTTGCTTAATATTTATTTTTTTAAATTTAATTTTATTTTTTTAAATTTTTATCTTTTTTTTGACAGATACCAATGATGATTGGTATGGCGGGTTTGGGAATATGCACTTTTTTATTCGGCATATCCGACAGTTATTGGCAGTTGATGCTGGCAAGAATTGCCCAAGGTGCATCAGGAGGAGCATCCTGGTTTGTAACTTACTGAAATTTTAATTCATTTCACAATTTATTTACATTATTTATAATATTAGGACCGTTACTTTGGCTATGCTGGCCGACCGATTTGGAACCGGTCCTAAACTTGGAATCGTCATGGGAACAGTTTTATCGGCAAACACTTTAGGTTTCATTGCTGGTCCTGTAATTGGTGGTGTTCTATATCAATACTGGGGATATGCTTCCCCTTTTATTTTCTGCGTCATACTTTCTTTTATTGGTTTTGTGTCCGCATGCACAATTGTTGATCCGATTAAGTTGAAAGCATGGGATTTGGCAATAAGTAGACGTGATGGAAACTCTGATGACCCCCCAGATTATTGTGAAGTAGAACCCAATTGTAACAATCCTCTTTCAATCTGGAATTTAATAAGAGATTGGGAGATTGTCTCAATTTGTATGACGCTCACAATTGTAGCAAGTGCTTTTTCGGGTAAGTTATAATTCAAAAAAAAAAAAATATATATATATATATATATATATTATATATATATATATGAATAAAATTTATCAATCGAAATGATTCGAAGTGATTATTTCTTCCTTTGTAATCTTATTTAGCCATAGAACCCATTCTCCCGATATATCTTCGTGAAGAATTTGACGCAAACGCTTCAGAAATAGGTCTCGTTTATATCACTGTAGTGCTCCCGACTTTTGCTTCGCCACTTGTTGGTTGGTTATCATATCGCATTGGACAACGAGTAATGTGTGGTATTGGCGTATTATGGATAAGTGTCGCTTTGCCGCTAATCGCCCTGCCGGATAACATATGGCTGGAAGTTTTTCCATTGTTGTTTTTCGGCGCGACTTACGCTATTATTTCAACGCCGTCTCTTCCAATGTTAGGGGAAAGAGTTAGAGAAAAAGGGGGTGGTGCATATGGTCAAGTTTACGGACTTTGGAATATGGCATATAGTATTGGAATGTTCATAGGGCCGGCTATTGCTGGTCTTTTAATGGAACACTTTGGATTTTTTGGTACATTATGTACCTTTTCAGCAATGACTTTGATGATCTCACCATTTGTATTTTTAGGAAATCCGTTTAGATCACTTAAAGGCTTCAGATGCTTCAAGTGCTATGATGGATACACTAGCGTTCCACAATACGAACCTGATGATGAATAGAGGTTGTACCTGTCAAGAAAATTTCTATCCGGGTATTATTAAATTACTCGGTTATCCAGGTAATTTATTATGCCATATAATAAAAATGTCTACCCGGGTACAATCTCTTAATGTATAAACTTTATTGACTTTATATATTTACTGCGTTCATGTACATATATATATGTAAATATACTTGTCGCCCAATCCCAAAAATCATTATAGTTTGGAATTATTCACCCCAAATCCCAAACTATGATTAAGTCAATACCTTAAAAAAAAACAAAAAAAAACCTTTATTAATAATCTATGTATTCTGATATCGAATATATTCGCACATTATAAAAATTTTTTCCTTTTTTAATTGTTATAAAAAGTCTGGGATTTGTCCGGTTTTGCCGGCAAGCATATATGTAAACTGTTTACTTTAACTATATATATTAAATTATAATTTTGTGGAATTATCATTTAATTCATAAATGAATTTTATCGTTTTTTAAGATGTTGTGAATGATTGAATTCCAGTGATAGCTCTACCCAATATAAGGGAATGGATATCATGTGTGCCTAAAACGAATAAATTTTAATAATTTTAATTAGTATTGGAATATATCTACAAAACATACACATAAAAACATATACATCTCAATAAATACCTTCATAAGTATTGGTTGTACATAAATTTTGTTCATGTCTAATTATATGATATTCATCGCTTATTCCATTACCTCCTAGAACGTCTCGCATGGAACGTGCAATTTCTAAGGCTTTTCCGCAGGAATTACGCTTTACAAGTGAAATCATTTCAGGTGCTAATTTACCCAAATCTTTTAATCTTCCTACTTGAAGGCAAGCCTGAAGACCGATAGCAATCTGAAATAAAATAATTAAGTCACACAAAATAATTAGGCTTAAGTATGACCAAAAAAGTATAAATTATATGCATTACTTGCCTCCGTATGTGCATCGGCAAATTTCTTTTGAATTAATTGAAACCTTGCCAATGGAACACCAAATTGGTTTCGATTAAGAGCATACTCACGAGCTTTAGCTAAACAAAATTCTGAAGCTCCAAGCACACCCCATGCAATTCCAAATCGTGCATTGTTAAGACAACTAAAGGGCCCCTAGTTAATAAAAGTGAGCCAACTTTTTCGAAATAATAATAAATAATAATAAATAATAATAAAGGAATTATATTACCTTTAAACCTTCTGCATGTGGAAGTAAATTTTCTTCAGGAACTTCTACATTATCCATCATGATCATTCCAGTTATGGAAGCCCGAAGTGATAATTTACCTTTAATTGTTGGTGTAGATAATCCTTCCATACCCTTGTTTATATTATAAAAATTGTCATCAACTTGGCATTGTTATTTTATACAACATCCAGCTGTTTGTGTATATGTACCTTTTCCAAAATAAATCCTCGTATTTTATGATCTTCTTTGGACTTTGCCCAAACAATCAATATATCCGCTATTGGAGAGTTGGTAATCCAAGTTTTCGATCCATTTAATATATAGACACCATTTTTTTTTTGTGAATAAGATTGCATGCCACCAACATCAGAACCGTAATTAGGTTCTGTTAACCCAAAAGCACCAATAATTTCACCTTTCGCTATTTAAAGGTAAATAATAATGATTCTACAATTAAAAAATTAGAATTGTGTAACTTGGACATTGTATACGCGAAAATAATACCTAATCTAGGTAAATACTTTTGCTTTTGTTCTTCACTACCAAAAGCGTATATAGGGTGCATAACAAGTGATGATTGCACACTCATTGTGGATCGGTAACCGCTATCTACTCTGGAAGTAATATGAAAAAAAAACCCTAATTAAACGTGTCATCTCTAAAATAAATAAAATTGAAATCAAAATTTTAAAACCTTTCCACTTCACGAGCAATAAGTCCATATGCTACCGAAGAAACACCTGAACAACCATATCCTTGAATAGTAGAACCAAGTAAACCTAATTCGCCCATTTCTGTAACAATTTCACGATCAAAATCTAAAAGTATAAAGGATGATGGTAAATAACCTGCTTACGATTAATTTTTCAAAAAAAAAAAAAATAATAATAATAATAATTAACATACGTTCTTGGCGGTAAGCTTCCAAAATTCTTGGAAATAACTTTTCTTGACTATAATGACGAGCAGAATTCCTAATTTATTCCGATAAATTTAGTCAAAAATGCACTGGAGAAATTTTTACAAAGAAAAAAAATATAAATATACATATGTAAATATATATATGTATATATTTGTATATACCTGATGGCAATTTCTTCATCGGTCAGTTGTGATTCAAGAGAGAGAGGATCCTCCCAGTCATACTTAACTAACCGAAAAAACGCGCTTTGTAAATAATTTAAGCTAGTTTTTTTTTTTTAAGGCAATTCAAAAAGTCTTTACCTGAAGTCTGGGCTGACATGCTTCTGAAAAGCATTGCTTTTCGCATAGGAGTTTTAAAAAATTTCAAATTGGAGTGTACAACCGAAAGTCGAAACATTGTTAAAGTCAAAATTTTAAATTAAACGTAAAATGTCCGATATTTATTTATATGATGCATAAAGAGAGATCGACTTGTCATTTATATTACGTATAAGATCAATTCTATCGATTTAAATGTATATACATTATGCAAAATCCATACATTTTATTTTATTTTTTTGTAAATTTCAAGCTCTTTTTGAATGACACATACGTATAGGTGTTTGTATATAATAAAGACACATATATAGTATATACTTAAAAATATCATACGAACATATCGAAGCTATTTATTATTATTGTTTTTTTTTTCTTTGGTACTTTCAACATGATTCATAAATAAAAATTCCTTATTCTCCGTACTTATATGCTCT